AGGGAATACTAGCACAGACAAAGAACATGCGAACCATACATTCAGAAAAGACAAAGAATCAGTCATCCAACTTTCCTTTTATTTAAAAAAGTTTAACAGCCAATTAATAAAACCAGGGACAAACAGATAACCACGTTCAAATACAACATAGTAGAAATAGCAATTTTATGCAGGATCGGTACTTAGGATTAATCCCCCCGCCCCAACACACACATTTTTTGAAATGCAGGCAGAAGTTATTCAAAACTACTAATTCGTGAAATGTTCTTCCAGACAGAACGGTCCGGGTCCCTAAGAAGGTGGCAAATAGCCTACACATATCAAAAGCTGTCTCTGTGGTGTCTAGAAATAAATGGTCCCCACAACCACGTTTTAAACTGGTCCGAGTATTTCTCTTGATGTTGTCAACACAATTGCCACACCTCCGAAGCACAGAAAAAATTTTCAGCAGGTCAGTAATGGATTTATTATGGAAAAAAAAATCTCATAGAAGAAAGTTCTAAGCCTTAAAAGGAAACTAGCTTGAAATCTAGCCAATTTAAACAAAAAATAATTGAAGGTAATTTCAGACTCCACATTTGCCCAAGTCCTCTGGCAATTTTTTTGTGGTTTTACAATCATTTCCTATAGCCACCTCTCACCGCTGTTCTGAAGACCTGCACAAGCACATTGGGGAAAAGGAAAGGAAAGAAGTGACGAGTTCTCTAGAGAAAACCATGGAAATGACTGTGAGCTTGACTTCATATTGTACACAAACGATTAAAAAGAATTAAATGAGAAAGTTCCTTGGCACTAGTGTAATTCCATTACAAATCACTGTTTCCTACAGTAACAGAGGGTAAAATCACGTTTGGCACAAGTATGAATTTTTGAATTAACAGCGTACATTTAAAAACTCAGTCTTACCAAAAGTAACTTCTCCTTTGCCAGTCTTGTCAAACAGCTGAAAGGCCACTATGAACAACGCATCTGGAGCGCACAGGACTGATTCAAATGCCACAAACTCTTGAAAGGATATCAGCCTAAAGGAGGAAGGAAAAAGTAAAACCTATGAAACCACTCGCTTGCGGAAATAAATAGCGTATAACATAGCTTACGCAAAAGAAAAA